AGTTAATGGTAAAAAAAATTTTTATGTATATAAAGCAGAAATGAAATAAATCGAAACTTTCATTTTTTAAAAAAATCAGGCATTACTTTTTGCAGCGACTGTATATGATAAATTAAAAAATTCGGGGGAAAGAAACTAATAATTATTAATGAATTACCACTTGTTTTTATGAGGGTAATTTTCATGTGATAAGTAGACTCCAACGGTTGAACAGAAATCAAACACGTCAGAGCATGGAAGTTTTCAGTGGAAGCTATGTTACTGATGTCATCTTTCCCTGATTTTTCATTCAAATTTCGACTATTTTGTTGATTAATTTTCTCACATGTTCCACAGTCCGATAACGTTCAACATATCGACCCATAAGCCCGAAAAATAAAATTCCGAAAGCACAGCATACCGAAAGCACGATATACGAAATCCTGAAAAGCACAGCATACCGAATGCATGGCATCCTAAATGCATGGCATCCCGAATGCACGAAATCCTGAAAAGCATGGCATACAGAATGCACGAAATCCCAAATACATGGCATCACTAATGAATGAAATCCTGAATGCACGACATCTCGAATGGACGAAATACCAGATATATCAATGAATTAATTGAAGTGAAATATTAAGATTTTAAATATCGAGATTTCATGCATTCGGTATACTGTGCATTCAGTATGCTGTTCATTTGGGATTTCGTGCTGTCTGCATGCTGTTCATTCAGGATTTCGTGCTGTCGGTATGCTGTTCATTCAGGATTTCGTGCTGTCAGTATGCTGTGCATTCGGGATTTCGTGCTGTTGGTATGCTGTTCATTCAGGATTTCGTGCTGTTGGTATACTGTTCATTCAGGATTTTGTGCTATCAGTATACTGTGCATTCAGGATTTCGTGCTGTCGGTATGCTATTCATTCAGGATTTCGTGCTGTCAGTATACTGTTCATTTAGGATTTCATGCTTTCGGTATGCTGTGCTTTCGGTATACCGTGCATTTGGTATACTGTTCATTCAGGATTTCGTGCTGTTGGTATGCTGTGCATTCAGAATTTCGTGCTGTCGGTATGCTATTTATTCAGGATTTCGTGCTGTCGGTATGCTATTCATTCAGGATTTCGTGCTGTTGGTATGCTGTTCATTCGAGATTTCGTGCTTTCAGTATGCTGTTCATTCAGGATTTCATGCATTTGGTATGCTGTTCATTCAGGATTTTGTGTTGTCAGTATGCTGTTTAT